TTAAAATCTTATCTTAAAAACAAATAACCCAATTACCCAAGCAACTGACATGAATTTCACCATTCTTTTTCCAATGGATGAAATAGTACAACAGGAACAAAGAAAAGACAAAGAACTTAATTTTGATGTTCAATAAGAAATTCGTCTAGCCACTAATGTTTCAGCTTCCGTCATCTGAGCTAAGGAATATGTGTGCAAAAACTAGAAACTTGACTTTGCCCAGTGACATATTGCTTCCCCTTGTAAGTGAAGTATATGATATGTATGTCAAATTTAATGGTTCAGATATGAAATTTTGTTGTTCTAACTAATCTTGAAACTGCATTCACCGATATATATACTTAAGTCACTTTGCACATAGCTGTTTTCCAGATTTTAGGACGTGAGCTGGAGGTCTCATTCTTTTTGACATTAGTATAGAGTTTCTGAAGTAGAAGTTGTCCGTCAGAGATTGAATGCAGTCACATCGCACTCTTCAGATTCTGTAGCATGAATGAAATAAAATTTATAAGGGAGAGTCTATATAAATTTATACATGGTTCCTAGTGCTGGCATTATTAGAAAAAAGGGAGGGGGGAGGGGAGGGAGAGAAAGAGCTACAAGTAGTTCACTATCAACCAATTTCACTAATATGTTTACAGCATGCAGAACCAAGGATCTTGCTATCAAGAAAGAAGTTAGGAATTACATAAAAATATTAGCTGACTTCATCTATAACATCGTGTGATCATAAGTTTAAGTGAGTATCAACTTAATATTAGAGACTCTATGACTAAGTAGATCGGAATTCTGTCCTTGTTGACTCCAACTGCTCAAAATGAACTGAAACTACATCGCATGGTAAGTTAGGAAATCATTTCTTTGTCCATGTTTCAAGTCTTAAGCATTTTCATGTCAAGGGGTGTTTTATGGATTATAATAAAATTATTTGTTACTCTTCACCAAAACTTGCAATTTGAAGTGGTCTTTGAAAACAGTATACATGATCAACTTATGCTGCTTTTTCTCTAGGTGAGATAACCGAGTGATAAAGAAAAGGTTTGACCCCATTTGCATAAATCTGCAGCTTGTTCCTGTCTGGTTAAGCCTCCTGCCCCTTAAAAATGATTTGAGTGAGGCCAAGATTATGCATGAACAGCTCTGTTTAATGGTTTCAAGGTGAGAAAACAGTACACCCCATTAGAAGAATCTTTTATGAAAATAATAATTAATCAATAAAAAAATAAATAGTTTTCAATGCTGCAGTAATTGATTAATTGAGTTTGTTATTATATTTCAGGTCAGATAACGATCTTTTTGGCCCAGGAAATCAAAATCTTGTCAAGATCATTGCAGTATTTGTTGAGGTGAGTTGACAGCGTTTTTCATCTTCTACTCTCAAACCGAACCCTTGTCACCCTTACAAACAAGAGCTAAGATACATGTTAGACTGAAATGGATATACCAAGACATAAATAATATCCAAATGAGTTCAAATGCAGATGAAACGTTATCTTCAGATATTGCCAAGTTTTAATCTACTACAATTTTGTCCTCTTTATAATAGCAATGTTAATCTCTCAAAGATGATATATTTGTGTCTTAAGAACTTAGCAGCTTGTAGAAAACTGAGCTTGTAGACTGTTATTTATAGCAAAAATGGGAGAGACATTCTCCTATCAAAGATGTCTCGTGGAAAACAAAAATGGCAAGGTAGATTCAGATATGTAAACTCTGACTGTCTGAGTCCAGGTTTCTTCTTCTAAAGATATGGTGCAGTTAGAAGATCACTTGTGACAAATCTTGACCACTCGGCATGCATGAATAAGATGAAGCGAACTTTTTTCTTGTTCCATTGGTTCATCTTTGCTATTCTAATATACATTCAGGGAATTTAATATTCGTCCAGTGGATTAGAAAATGTCGGTTTTGCTCTCAATACAATGAATTTCACCTCTATATTTCCTGATGACAGAGCCACATGAAGGAAGACTAATTAATTTTTTTAAGACTATGACACTGGACGTGCCAATTGCTAAGACTAGATTTCTCTTCCTCTTATTGTAACTTTGTTCCTTTTTATACTGTAAGATATGTTTTGTGTCAGGTTATTGATAAGGGAAACAGATTAGCTACACCAGAAACTGTCAAGAAGATGAGTCATTTGCTGAGGGAGTTTGGAATGGCCATTCCTCGCAGTTCTTGGGACTTGATGTTGTTATCATTGAATGCCCAACAACAGCAATTGTTGTTGTCCATGGTATCATCTTAGGATTATTCATCTTGATGAGTGGTATTTTGAATATCTGACAGGTTTAGCGCACTTGTATGCAATTTAACAAGTGTTATCCAAATTACTGCAATGTCATAGAATGATATCATGATATGAGATAATTCCATGAAAATCATATGGGATTTCATATCATACCATTTTTAACTCTCTTTTTTTTTAAAAAATTAAATTGTATCATTTCTATGACATTTACAGTTGTCATGCCAAACCTGACATCTGATATCCAGTGTAATGACGGTATTCAAAATGCCTTAGCAAGTGAGAATGAGATACAAGTGTATCCAACGCTACCTAGTATTCATATATTTTTTTAAAGAGAATAATTGAAGAGAAGAGATACATCACCACTCTTGAGGCATAAGAGTGTTTCTAGTATTTGAGGCATATTCTTGCACAGTGTAACTGTTTGTACATATTGGCATACATACTGATTAATAAGATGGTTTGGTCATTGATACAAGAGGGAAAGAATGGATTGTTCATTGCTGAATTTGTTAGAAAATCTCCAAACAAATAATGTTTTGGAAATAAGTTGGCTTGGTTTATTATATTTTTCTTTAGCTTCTTTTCTATTGCTTGAGTAAGAATTTGCAAACCGTGATGTAATATTTATTTTTACATTCATACAAATTCAAATTTCAAATCTTATACTTAAACAACAGTAACTATTTCTTCTAAAATCAATGCTTGTAAGTAAAATAATTTATTTTCAGAACTTAAAAAGAGAGTTTACTTTTTACTCCCTCCAATTTAAAATACAGGTTCTTTTTTTTAAAAAAAAATTGTTTCATCTTGCATGTTATTAATATGTAATTTAAATTCTAAATTATAATTTTAGAAGCAATTTAAACTGTATGCTAATAATTGATACTCCCTTCGGTCTCATTTATAAGTTCAATTTTAGAAGGTGTATTTGATCTCATTTATAAGTCACGGTATGTCTTTTTAGATAATATTTGAGAGATATTTTCAAAATTATCCTTCATGAGAGAGAAAAAGTAACAGGACATTACTTTTTAGATTTGTTATATAGGGGCATGTTTGAAATTTTACTTATTTTTATTTCTTATACTTTTATTGTATTGGTATTGATGAGGTTGATAGAAATAACTTATAAATAAGATCGGATGGAGTATATTTTAAATTTTAGACAATTAATATGGGGACAATCATCTCACCCACTATTAACTCAGACTCTGAGTAAACGTCCGTTCGTTGGGCCCAGATGCGCAGGTGACGTGGATTTTTCTTTTGTTTTTTTTTTTTTGCTACAGATCACGATTTCTTAGGTGCAGCGGCGCCAACTCGGCCTTCGAGAAGGAGACGAACCCACACTCCCTGCTCAGATACGAATCGGCGGGAGGGTTTATATACGCCGGCGGTAATCCATCCTTCTGTGGTGACCCATTCTAATGTCCGCAAGGAATTTGATGGCCATTGCTTCGAAGGGTCCTGTTACCAAAACCCTTTTTGATGGCCATTCGACCCCTTTCGGCTGCAATCATTTCTTCAACGAGGTTCGATCGTTGGTTGAAGGTCATTTCCTGCTCTTTCTTTTCTTCTAACTCCATCTCTTGTAGCTGAATTAAACCCTTACTAAGAACGGAGTTTTGGATCTTTATATATATATATATATATATATATATTTAATTGCCAGAAACTTCTCGGAATCTTTTGGGGTATTTCACGAGGATATGACTATTATAGTAGGGATGTGGTCTTCGTTTTTCAGAGCTTATGAAAATGTCTTCTTGCGGGTATGTGTATCTGTTGAGATAAGTGAGTGCTTCATTTTTGGATTTGTTAATTTCTCCAGTAATGAATCTGCAAGTTCAGCTATTTCTACAATGGAGGGGCTTTCAGTATGAGAGAGACCGGTCTTGGCGGGAAGGCATTGCGTCTTCATGGTGGAGATCTGGTGGTAGCACAGTAGCAGAATCAGACTGGAAGATAGCTCCAGTGTGAAAATATAATTACCAATATGCCCATTTGACTATGTTGACTTGCATACTTGGCATGCCAATTTGGCAATGTCAACTCAAAACAAATTAACTGCCGGATTGTTTCTAATTTGATTGTTTAAGGATTAAAATATACAAAAAATAAGTTTAGATTCAAATTGCTGCCTATAATTTAAATTTAGGATGCAAATTACTATCTAACCCTTCTTTTAAATATAATATTCATTGATACTTATATGTTTATTTATAACCTGTTTTTTTGATCGAATCTTTATTTATAATCTCAATATATTATTTATGAGAACAATTATTCCCTTAGTTTTTATTAATCATAAAATGAATTAAAGATAAATAATAAATTACATTTTTTTAATATGTTTACACATAGCTTAAAAGACCTATAATTTTGAAATGGAATCAATATCTAATTTAATCTTCAAATAAAAATACAGTTAAGATTTTTTTTTTGTTTTCTAATATATCATATTGAATAAAAACGTGTAAGATTTTCATCAAGAAAATAATTATCTTCCCACTATCCCAAAAGGTTTGAAAATATACATAGTATTAAAAAAATGAATTTAATAAACATAAAAAAAGAAATGATATTTTGAAAAAATAATAATATAAAAACATCAATAAATATTACTGTTTTAAATTTTACAAAATATAAAACAAAATAATTTTTTTTATTGTTTACACTTTAAAGTATCCTTCTATCGAATTTAGTCTGAAAAAGAGGAAATATGAAATTTGAGAAGAATTTGCTTGAACGATTGGTTGCCACGAAATCAGATGATAGCCCACGTGTATAGCAGAATGAGGCCGTAGTGAGTCCTGACTAAATTCAGCCGAGGACACGCCTGCGTTGTCCCTAATTGCATTTGCATGTTATTTCTCTCTTCTTCATCTTCATATTTCATCTTCCTTTCCAAATTCTTACTGTTATTCCATTTCCATCTCCAACAAACTACTCAAAATGGCGGAGTCCTGTGAAACTGTTGACCCCAAGCCCAACGGAGCATATGTCGAAATCGCCGGAGAGAAAGACATCGATGGCGCCTTTCAGTCCACAAAGGAGAGGGAGACCTTGTACGAGATTCTTCACCATATGGGTTCCGCGATTTTGGTTGCTCATAAGGGCAACAGTGCACCTCTACTGCAGCGGATCAAGACTTCCGTATCTCAGTACGCTCCTCGCATTCCTGAAGCTTCTAGAAACACCGGTCAGGATGTTCTTCTCTGGACTCGTCGAGGCAGCCCTCTCCGGGCTCTCCTTGTCATCTCGGTGAGTATTGCTGGTCGCTTCTGTGTTGTACATCACAAATTTCGCAGTGCATTGTGAATGTGATATTTTAAATTGAATCTTGTTTGCGCATGTGGTGGACTCCGTGAATCTTAAGCGAATGCCTTGTCGGATTTTATAATGAATTTGATTCGATGTACGTTTGGATGTGAAGCTTGCGATTTAGGGGGATTTTCGGTTTATCAATTTGTTGTTCTCACAACAATTTGTGCTTGCATAATGCAAGCATAGCAACAACTGAGGAAGCCACTAGATGTTCTTTACAGTGTTACATGTTCTAGTAAAATCGCTTATGGCCGTCTATACCGCCTCAAGCTTTGGGGATCAAATATTCAAATTGTTCTTGACAAACCAGTGAGGGATTTGGGTCCCGTGCCAATAATATGGTCCCGATCGTCCATGATATGTTCAATTTCATGTGGATTACCAGATATTGATCGTACAACTTTTGCTGGATTATAATAAACTATAAGTCTAAACATTTTTGGCTTTTGATCCTTGCCACCCTATGTTTTCTGATTTTTCAGAATCCTTCTTCGGTATTGTTTCATTTTTATTCTGTTGGTAGCCGTTGGGTGGCAATTTGATTATTCTTATTCCTTTTCTTTCATCTATTATTTTCTTCACACGTGGGATTGAGCCTTCTCATCTGTTGCTCTTCTTTGACCAAAGGCCAAAATCTCTTGCAGTTTGAATTTCATAGGCTTATCCTTGTGCAATGAATACCACATCTTAGTCATTTAAAGCTGATGAAGAGATATGTTCTTTAGGAAAGATACTCCTGGCTAATTGTTTTTCTAAGGACCGATAAGCATGTCTACCCCGTTCTCAAGTTGCCAAAGTGAGTGAGAGTTTTGAAGATGCAAATGCAATTTTATTTTCATTTATTCACAAACCTTCTTTTCCCACCCCGCAGCTTACACTCTCGAGAGAAAAAAGAATGTTATTTGATTGGCAATGCAGTTCCAATTAGATTTGAAGTTTGATAACTGTGCTACATTGTAATATCTAAATGCTAGAAGTCTTATCTTCAGCACCCTTTTTGAAACCCTTGGAAAGGTTTGTCTGATTATTTTTTCTGTATGTTTCATTTCCAAGCCTTATATGATGTGATGCTGCGCTTCCAGATGTTGATTCATCCATGGGATGTTACCATCCATTTTATTATTAACATCTTTTGATATTTTAAATTTCAATTTTTGGTTGGCTCATTGAACAGTCATCCAGAGTAAATTGAATAGGAACTTTCCTTAAGTACATGGGTACTTAATGCATGATTTGTGCGTGTGTGTGATTTTACCATATTACCTATGACAATGTAGACCTTAGGACGTCTCAATTGCCTCCATGCAATTTCAAAGTCAAACATCATCTTGCTTATCCTATACTTTATTGCCACAAAACGAACTATTCCCCATGTAGGATTGCTGCACTATGCTTCTCTGTTGCCTGTAAGTTGTTTGTTTTAGTCAAACGATGAAGGATTTTCATGTAAAATTTTGAGAACAAGAATTCATGTTATTGCCGTAAGCTGTGCAAACCAATTTGTCTGCCTGTCTATTCTATAAAGAAGTACAGAGTTTGTGCTAATATTCATTTTGTACTTGGGGTTTACTGATGGAGACTAAGACTACGACTCATAAATAGAATAGGTCATCTGGCACTTTCATTGTTTGGGTGTTCCTTTAAGAAGCTGACATAAGGATGGCACATTCCACAACAGAGGTAATATATCGGACATTGACATGGTAGGTTATACATAAAGTTGAAAGTGTCTTGAAATGGTTTCAACTTTTTCCTCAAAAATAAATTTACAGTTAAGTTTCAAAACTTGTGGTCTTATTTTTTCTTTGTAAATAATAAGATTGATACTCGTAGAGGGATTACATTCCAACCATTCATATGCAAGGGGGAGTAGTTAATTGTTTCCTTTCCATGCTGGGTGACATGGAAAAATGTTTGGGTGTCAGTTTTGATGTCAACTGTTCTTAACCTTTAGTAATTACAATCTTGACATGATTATTTTCACTAGCTATGTAAGAGCAAGACAGATGAATACATAATTGCCTCTCTGAAAGGAGATTGTTTGGCAGCAAAATTTCCACCTTCCGTTCTTCTGTGAAGTTGTCATATCAAGAAAATATAGTTTGTTAATTTTATTTTTCTATTGCTTTGAATGTTGTATATCTCATTTGGTTTCTTATGATTTGCTTCCCTGTTTGTTGCAGGTTGGGACAATCACTCTTGTTTCCTTGACAGGGTTGTCTGTCTTTCTGCTTTTGGTTCTGGCGGCAACTTTCAATGCCATTGTTATTTCCCTTTTTGTGTCTTTGGCAGTAGCGGGAGGATTCTTGGCCCTTTTCTTCGCATCTGTAACAGCTATATATATTGGAGCATTATCGATAGCCATATTTGCTATTTGCGCTGCTTCATTCTGGGCAATTGTGGCTATACTCATAACTACAGGTAATAAGTTGTTTGATTGCCTCGATTCCTTCATAGTAATCTGATCTGGCGTTCTGGCTTAAACTTTTTAACTATTTCACGGCACATGTGCCTTTATGAATTTGTAACTCTAAATAGGAGTTTAAGTAAATGAATTTCAGCTGAACTGAATCAGAGATAGTGTTTTTCTATCAGTAGACCTGTAAGGTCAGTGACTGTGCTTGTTTATTGCCCTGCCCAATAAAGATAGATTTTAGTCTGCAAGACATGACAATTATCTAACGGACCAATGTCTACAATTTTGCATTAGTTTTCAATTATTCTAAGCACATGTGCTTGTAAAGTACGAGCTATCGAACTTTTTATAAGTATCAATAACTAATAAAGGTTGACTGGTTTGAATATTGATTGCTGCACATACCAGTTAAAACATCCATTACAGACCAGAATGTCCAGGGACTCTTCCTTGATGTCACTAACAAAATTACTAGGCATATGTGGGGACAGAAAATTGCCCATGAAGAAGTTTTCTGGCATCACCATACAACAGCATTGCAACAATATCTTCTTGCTTCCATTAGATAATGTTTTAAGTTTCCCCTGGTGGATTTGCTATAATGTTGCTTCCCTTTTGGGCTAACACTACAATGTTTCCTTTTCTAACTTGAAATATTGAAACTAATGAGTCAGGTTGGATTGGATTCTTCTGCACTTTGTGGTTGGCAACTAGAAAGAGCTTTGAACTGGCTAAACAATTCTTGACTGTGACTAGCACTGCCGTTGCAAATTATGCGGATGCTCGGCATCCCCTCAAGATGGAAAATTTGGACTCAGATTGAGGCTCATTATGCATAAAAGGTTTATGCACAACACCTATTTTGTATTGCTTCTGTTTGTGCATGCTTTTTGAGAAGACACCATTTCCAGTAGAAAATATAGTGTGGTGTGTTGTCCTATGTCCATACTCCTGGATCTTGCATGCCTATGATTTTGTTGTTTTATCACGAATGAACGAGAGATGGTAAGGTAGATTGATGTTGTGTGATCCAGTTGAATAAAATTGTGGGGCTTTCTTTCACTCAAGAAAAAATCCAGCTCACTGTTGTTGTATTTATTAATTTTATATTACATGAGTATATGCTGGTGTCGGTGTGTATTTGTTCCTTGAGGTTGATTAAATTTAATATTCTTAAAAAAAATATATTTCGAAAGTCAGATGGATTTAGTCAACACTACAATTTTGAGCTGAGTTTTTTTAGTTGGCTTGAAAAATTGCATGGAAGTAGTTTTTGTTAAGTTACTTCATGTTGTTGATGGAGAATTTTTTTTTTTTTAAAACTATACTTTGAAATTTAAAGGATTAATAAGAAATTTTGTGAAGTTAAGGGACCAAGAAGCATGATAACAATTTAGCAGAGTGAAAGTTTGCTTTTGATACTTAAGAAAGCCCAAATATCTTTCCTCACAAATTTTCTCTTTAAAAAAATAGAAAGCCCAAATCTTTGTTCTTTTTAAGTAAAAACGCCCAACAAGGCCCAAATCTTCTTTGACCACTTAATACAACATGGCATCTTATCTTTGTTCTTTGTTCTTTTTTTGTTTTTTTATGCAAGATTTTCTCTTTACTTTTTTTGTAGTAGAGCGTCAGTCTTGTAAACTGAAGGTCTGTAGTTCGATCCTGCATGGGGGCACTTAATTCTTTACTTTTTCCACCTAATAAGATAAAGGCTTGTTGTTGTTGTTGTTGTTATGCAAGATTTTTTCTTTGGTCTTTTTATTCTTGAAAGATTTATTGTTTTAATTAAATATTTTAAAATGCCATAAAACCATTCATGAGCAACAACAACAAAAAAAAAAAAAGTTTTCTATACGCTTTTGAGTCGTTTCATGACACTTTGAAATAAGAAAATATAGATGTAGGGAATTTTTATACGCTGACATTACATAACATATAATCTTCACAATATTCCTGTAACCTTTTATTCAAAAAGGAAAAGAAAATATATCAATCATGTGGTCAAGTAAAATATATGTACCTGCAATATATGTTTATTTTTTGCAATGTAGGTACAATACGTTAGGTACAATATGTATCTGTAAAATATATGTTGTTGGGATAACCTTTTCTTATTTCACATTCTCTCACTGAATAGGAGTCAGGAATGAACTCCTCATAAATTGTTTAGTTAAATTTTTTGCTGAGATTTAATTAAAAAAAATGTAACTACGTATAAAATTCATACATTTCTTTTATGCATTCATCATCTATTTTTCAAATTTATTTCCTCAAATGAAATACCTATATTCACTTTACACATTACAGCATATAGTGAATTAGCATCAACCAATTTCCAATTTTTGTTGCCCCTTTAAAGTTTTAAATTTATCTCATTTTAAAAAGTATGTAACATTTATTATGTTAAAAAATATAAAGCATTTTTTTTTGAAAGTATGGTGTTAAAAAATACTCACTCCTTCCTAAATTATAAGACTCTCTTTAAGATTTGACATCTTAAAATATAAAATACTTTAATAAAAATAAGATTTTATTAATAATGTTTTTTTAATATTCCACTTCTCATTATATTCTATTTCTTTAATATTCTTTCATAATGGAATATTAAATAAAAGATGTTTTTAAAATTTTAATTTTTTTAAAAAAATAAGTTACAAAATATATTTAATGAGCTTCATTAGCATATGTGATTCCGTTTAAAAGTGTCTTATAATTATTTGAGATAGGGGGAGTATAAGGCATTTTGGATATTTTAAAGTGTAATTAATGTCATTTTTCTAAAAGTAATCCTAATTAGATGTATAATTGATAAAGTTTTCCAATTGAAATACCCTATGAAATTTAGATAAATATGAAAACAGTATAATTTTAAAGATAATTAAGTAACTTATTGAAAATGTAATTCGATTAAAAATACCTTATAAATTATAATATTGAATTGAAGGGAAGTAATTTGAAGACATATAATGAGAATTTATGACTTTGATAGTCATAATATGTTTTATAAAACAACTAATTAGTGAGTGTGTGTGTGTGTGTAGAAAAGTCAAACAAAATTGAAAGAGAATCGTCTGTCCTTTCATTGCAAGGCTTGCGAAGGTGAAAACAAGGGTAAATTAAACAAGATTGCAGATTTTGTGCCCCTTCCATTTTGAAGGCAAACACATCACAAATTCTCTTGACGTTCTGTGTTCCCTCACACCATTCGCTGGTTTTATAATAGCTGATTTAATTGATATAACTAATTTTATGTTATTCATTTCACCTTTTCAAAAAAAATATTTGATCGCAGTCGTATTAAACAAATCAAACATCGTTGCTTACATTTGGGATTTGAAAATGATATTTTTGTACGTAGTAATGGAAATATGGTGTGCTCCTTGCTTTTTCTTATATTTAAACTTGATTGATGTCCAATTAAACAAAATAAAACAAATGCATATATGTGCATAAGTGTATCTTAAACTTCTGAAAACTAAAGTATTGAATGGAATAAAAAGTAAACACTGTACAAGCCCCTTTGAGGTTTCCTGTGAAATGATGCATGGAAAATTAATTATGAGTTATGAAGAAAACGTCAAACTCATATTAGAGCCATGGTTTGGGAAGGAATTGAACTTTATGATATGCAATTTCCATTGTTTCACTGTAGTTTCGTGGAAGAAAAAGTTATGAGACATTATATATTTTCTGTCCCTCTATAATTATATTCCATTTGTACTATCAGTCAATATATTTCATTCTTCTTTGTATATAAGGTATTTTTTAAAAGTTTATTTTGTCCTTAAGTAAAAAAAATATCATAATATTTTTAAGTAATTAAATAATTTTGCACTTGTCTTGAAAAAAGAAAAGAGATATTAATTATGTATTTTATCCAACATCGTCATGATATTAATTGACATTATTTGAGACAAAATTCAAAAATTACTTTGATTTAATGAAATTTTAATTAAATAACAAACTTTTATAAATATACATCATTCGATGAAAAATATCTTTACATATAATGATGGAGGGAATAAAATATTATAAAAAAAGTGTAGGAATTATGTACATAGTCCCTCTAATTCTATTTACAAGTAATCACTCCTAGCATTTTTATTAGAACAAAAAAAAAATCTTAAACATTATTAACTTAGTCTAAAAATTTAATAAGTTTTCAACTTTACTCTTATTAAATATACATACTTTAAAAAGTAAAAATTTCTACTACAATAATCAAAATAGAAATACTTTAGAAATAAAATATTCTAGTATTTGATAATATTCCCAACATTTAATAGAGACAAAAGAATAAAGTTGGATAACATAATAAGGTGTCATATACTTTCTCTCTCTATCCTAAAAATAGGACTAGGAGACTAGTTTATATGACCAAGAGTTGGTGATTGAAGCCAATGAATGGCAGCCATAACTATATACTCCCTCTATCTTAAATTATAAGATAATTTAAAATAAGATTATGCATATCAGTAAAACATAATAATGGCACTTTATAAATTAACTTTTTTAAGATAAAAGTATAAACTTCTAAAAATACTATTTATTTAATATAATTTTAAATTTACAACCATTTTGAATTATTCTCTAAAGGTAATATTGAAAGAAAATATTATTACTGAAATCTTATTTTATTAAATCATCTTATATTTTAAGATAATAAAATACTTCCAATGTCATCTTATAACTAAGGATGAAGGGAGTATAGTGGTTTCAAGGCGGTGAAATTTCTCAGGGAGAGAATGACTTATGAGGATGACTCTAAAATAGGGTATAGATATATAAATCTCTTGAAATGAGTTGATTGCTCTATATTCTCTAAATCTTGTTTACATTAAATTTTCTCACCAAATTATAATTGAACCTTTCCATTATAAGTAAAAAATAGTTGTCCCTACTAATTAAACTTATAGATGACATTAGTTATAATCAAAATTGTTTACTCGTTATTATAGTGAACTTGCCATTAGGCTCTCTAAGTTATTACTAATTTCTTTTAACTAAGAAAGCTCAATTGTCATTAGTAATAATCAAAGTAGTTGCCAGTGCTAAAATTGTAATTGTCTTTAATCATAATCGAAGTTGTCAATCATTATACGAAACAAGTCATTGAGCTTCAATGTAATAAATTTCAATTTATTGGCATATTAACCAATTAAAAATTAATGTAGCCAAAGGGAGGAGGATTATATTGTGTTTGGAACTCTACATCCATGTTAATTGTGAGCGAAGCTAGCTAATAGTTAGCATTAGAGTTGGCATATATAAATATGAGTTCCAATTGAACATTTTGTTTTGACTCTTAATATACTCACTCCGTCTTTATATATAAAATATTTTTAACTAAATTACACAAATTAATAAAAATTGATTATCTAGTTAAAAACACATTAACATTTTAATGTTGCTCTTAATTATTGTAAATAAAAAATGCATCTTCTTTTCTAAAGTAAATTAATGAAAGTAATTATTTTTTTAATTTAATAAGGATACAATGGTCCATTTATTAAAAAATATACTAACAATCTTTTATATTTAAAGATAAAAAAATTTAAAAAACCTCTTATATATAATGACAAATGAAGTAAGATTTTGTCTTCTTCATTTAATTGTTTTTCCCAAACTATCCTCATTAATTTCATAATTTTTCTCACTCCTTTTTGTCTGTCACATTCAATACTCTCTCTCTTCCCCCCTCTCCCCTCAAAGGTATTGGGGAAGTGACACATTTTTAACTCAATAACGACTAATAACTAATTTAACCAAAATTTAATTTCTCAATCTCCATGAATTAATTAATTAGGTCTTAATTTAAGATCAGAGAAAGTTATTAGAGAGTGACTCCTTAGCGGTTGGAGTTAGGGCTTTCACGGAGTGTCCCAAGGTCCTTGGCTTCAATTTGAAGTGATTATTTAACCACACCACACTTAGTGAAATTACGTATTCCTTCCATTTCAAATATAAGAAAAATTATTCTATGTTTTATTTCTTTATATTACAAGTAAAATTACAAATTTCAAGAAGTAGCAATGACATTTTTCTCAAATTATCCCTCATAAATAGATATTACTCCCTCCATTTTAAATTATAAGATACTTTTAAATAAATTTTTATATATTAATAAAGCTCATTAAATACACTTTACAATCTTACTTTTTCAAGATAAAAATATAAACTTTTAAAAATGTCCTTCATTTAATACTCTATTGGTGAAATAATATTGAAGAGAGAGAATATATGAGAAAGGTAATACTGAAAAGCTATCATTAATAAAACTTTATTTTTATCAAAGCGTCTTATATTTTGAAATGATGAATCTTCTCTTAAGTTATGTTTGGTTGGAGGAGAGGAGGAGGAGGGAGGAGAGGGAAAAAATTTTAAAATTTCCCCTCCCCTACAACCAAACAAACTCTAAAAGTGTCTTATAATTTGGGATGGAGTGAATACTATTGAATTATAGAAAAAGTAAATTAACATTAATTGCAAGGATATTTTAGTCTGAATATTTCAATTTTAGATATAATTATTAAGATTGATTAACTTAAATTATGTGAATTGATAAAATTTTCTTACATTTAGAGAGAGAGAGAGAGAGAGAGAGAGAGTACTACTTATATTCCTCAATTATTTAGTGTCGTAGATTTTCATAATAAATAAAGTTTCTCATCTAACTGTTTATTAAATACAATCCAAGTGAAAGACGGAATCAGAGATATTTTCAAGAGATGGACACACATGAGATAAGATGGGAGAGAAAAGCACTCCATGAAAAAGACAATTGATAGGATTTAATGCACTCTTGCTCAACTTCTCTTTCTTTTTTAACTTTCAACGACAACGGGTTTTCAAATTTTGAACTGAATTATCTCCATAAGTAATAAAACAAATTTTTCCAATGAAAATAAATATTAATTTTATGAGGGATAATTTAAAAAGAAAAAAGTGATAAAATGATTTTTGAAATTTATAGTTTTACTGATAAATAAAAACAAAAAGGCACATAATAGTTTTTTATATTCGAAAACATGCAAAGATAAATAGTGAAATCTATTTAAATAAATAGTTCGAGTGCTGTACAAATTAGCCACGAATTATCCACTTTAAAGCATCAACAACTATGTAAAGTGTATACTCCGGTCTTTTTACGATATATAGCGAATATTAATTAATTATTAATTATTAATAATTAATTACAACCATGCATATAACCATAGGCTTAATATTATTAATTTATTAAGTTTTGCTTATAAATAAAATATTTTTTCTCGATCCAGATAAACTTCTCTTGCCTTTTTGAATTGTTTAATTATTAATAATTAATTGAACATCTTTGAATATGCATGAACTCCGGTGAATGTACCCTACCTTTGAATCAAAAAATAGAGTATTGATAATTAATTCACATTTTATGGTTCTAAAAAATGTTAGTTGAAATCTTAATTTCTTAAAAAAAAATTTACATCTTTCCAATTTTAGCTTCATTAAGTACCTTATATAAGTACTTTAATAATAATAATTAAAATTTTAGTGCATCATTTTTTAAAAAAAGTAATAAATGAAAGTAATAATTGAAAAATAACTATAAAAGTTATCCAATATGTTACTATATTTTGGACTAAATAAAACTTTTAGAATACATTCTATATTATAGTATCGAGGGACTATATATAATTCTCTACCACAAATACAATTCTAGAACCCTATTACTTAGAACTCCACGTTGTCCGTACCTCATCATCATAAAAAATAATAGTTTTACACACAACGTATAGCATCTCAGTGTTTAAAACTCACCTCCTGATTAATCCAATGAGAACCCGTCAAAGCCACTGATTTTCTTTTCTTTTTTTGGATTACCAAAAGTTCAGGTGAGTTAGATTTTAAAAATTTATCAGAATTGATGTAAATCCTTAGGCTCAAAGAGCACTTGCAAAATACTTATTGATCATCCATCAATAATGACCTCACACCGGCAGTAGGATCCAATGACGTGTGAATTATAAGTTAAATTATTATCAACAGGACTAATTTTTGTTGGTAAAGCATGATTTTTAACTTAAAGCATCTCAACAATGACACATTAGTCTTCTTCGCAGATGATATATACAAAATATTACTTCGTTTCAAATTATTAGATACTTTTAGATGAAATCTGACATATCAATAAATCCTATTAAATACACTTAACAACTTTATCTTTTCAAAATAAAAATATGAGCTTTTAAAAATACACATCATTTAATATACTAAAAAGAGAATGGACAAAAATTAATGATAGAGAGATAAATGGTAATATTAAAATTAATACATTTAATGAAACCTTAATCTAATTAAAATGTCTTATATTTTGAAATGAAGAAATTCTTTTAAAAGTACCTTATAATTTGGGATGGAGGGAGTACATCCATAATCCTCTTCTGATTAATCCTATGTGAGATTTTGGACAAGTTTTGGCCAATTTAATTTACTTAAATCAACTGAAATACCGATGATTGGTCCCTTTTTCAAACATGGATGTGATGATTTAATTTGTTTGCTAATATCTAGTTTTGGACTTCATATATATCCTTCAAATTAACAAAAAGAAAAAGAAAACTGTTTGCACCCCAGGAATTGGATGTGTGCGTGTGTTTAATTAATTTCAGGCATTTAAAATACTGTCTTAAAAAATTAATGAACTAATTTAAGAAGTCATGTAAGGGATATATATTAATTTAATCCGCAAGATAGTAAGATTTTGCAACGTAGAATGAGTGAGAATTAATTGTTTCATTTATTATTTATCAATGTGATTTTGCTTTCCTAAATTTCATGTTAATTAAAAAAGAAAAATATGAATATCCGTGCAAAGTGCGCAGAATTAAGGCAGGTGTTTCATCAATTAGAGAAAATTCATCTTAATTCCCCTTGCCAATTTTGTCTTGATAATTAAATTAATTATATATATATATTGTGAAATTTAATTTCTTCCGGTGTCCAGTGTAATGCAACATCTCAGGGCCAATTTTTAAGACAGGATTATAAAATCATTCATTCCTATATTAATTAATATATAATAATTCTTTATTTTGTCTTTCAAGAGAGGATGTTCTCATTATTCGTAATTAGAACCTTTTCAAAATCTATTGAAAAATAACAGATAATAAAATTGAGAAAAACAAGGAAAACAAAAATGGAAATTGAGAGAAGAGAACACAAAAGATACACAATGATAATAAGATAAAGTTTCCATTTACCTCCACCTCCTTTAATGGAAGACCAGGGGGGGTGTGTGTGTAAATTAAATATATAAACTTATGCCTCTCTTTCGCCTCCAATAATAAATAATCAACTAAATATGATTAAAAAAATCAACCCAATTGTCCATGAAATGATCATAACAGACTTCAAAAAAAAAAAAAAAAGAAACTTAATCACCAAAGTAATTAAGGAAGAATTAACTATATAAATGTATAAGGCCCCTTTAATTTATCTTTCTCCAATTTATGGAACCAATTGATGTGTGTGTGTGTGTGTGTGTGTTAACCCACCTCTCAGTAATTCATGAAAGATGACGATGAAAAGCATACATAAGACTAGTATAATTTGGATGGATCAATCATATGGATTAATATAATAAACTCATTAATTAATAGTCAAAATTATTAATTAATTAATTAATTGGGCTCTTGTCATTTGCCATTCCAATCTGGTCTTCCTAATGTAAACTCTAAACTTGGGTTCTTGCACTCCAAATTAGAGCTTGATATGTTGTTCTTCACATGCCTAGAATCACACTCCTGCACGTTCGTACGGTTTTATTTTACTTTATTTTTCCAGAATTAAACCATTTTAATTATAAAGTTAATGAGAAATATAAATAAAGCAATGATTAGAAATTAATGTCATATATGGTACCTGAATTTGATGCCCTGCTGATGATAGTGGCTGTGTCTGCAACGTAGGTCTCAGACTGTCAATGTCTTGGGTACTATTTTGAAGCCATGGCTCTCTAATACTGATCATTTTTAAAACAACAAATTAATTAAGAAATGTACGTCTTACCTTAACCATATATAATCTGATAATTTTGATAATGAGTAATTAATAATTCCAAAATTCTATGGCATAAAAAATTAAACTTTTATCTACACAGAAAAGCATGTGGGTTTAAGACCACTAAAGCATATATAATGATCAGAAATATAAACTTGTGATGTAATTTTCCATTCCAGAAATTAAGATACAAAAAGTATTACCACACCCAAAAAAAAAAATCATCTATTGTATTCTGCAGTTAATTAAATTTTTTTCATTTTTTTCCGAGCATTAGGTGGATGAGTACTTTATCTTAAGGCTTAAGGGAATATTCATGGCTTTAATTCATCATTTTCTTTTGTGATTACAAACACTATGCCTAGACAACAGCAGAGATTCTAGAGTAAACTCTTTCTAACTAATTAAGTTGGCTTTATTATACTCCCTCTAATTTTTATTATAAGTCATTTTTAACTACTTCACATGAATTAAAAATGGATAATTAACTCACTAAATCTATCTTGAAGTGGAAAAATGGGGAAAATTAATTATTTGAACTTAGCATTTTTGACTCGATCGATTGTGACTCAGCACGGATGGATCTAGGAATTAATTAAGAGGGGCGGAATTGAAAATAAAATGTAAACGGGGATCTATTTGACAACTTTTTACGCAAGTCAAATTTTGATTTTTTCTAAAGGAGGATGAAATCCATATGTGTAACCTAGCTTTTAAATTTTGACTTGTAACTCAATCATTATAGTTTTGATTCAGTTACAATTTAATTTCTATAATTTTAACTACTTTAAATATTAGCACTTATATTTTAGAAAATAAAATTATAAAGACTAAAGTTATTTTGTAACTTAGGAACTAATTTTTAAATTACTAAATAATAGAGACTGTATTATAAAGTAGTTACCTACTTTTAAATTAATTTTATTTTTTTATATTTACTCATATTAAATACCTTACAATAAATAGAAAGTCATTTATCAATAAAAATATTTAAAAAAAAGATAATAATTACAACTCAAAAAATTAAAAATATTTTATATTTTTAACATTATCTCCTCAAAAAATACTTTATATTTTTAACAGAGAGAGTATGAACTAAATGATTAATTTTTCTTAAAAAAACTATTTAACTTTGTCCGCATTAGAGAAAGAGAGAGATAAACACAACATTATATTTGATGAGTTATATAGAAACACCAAATTAGAATTAAATTATTCTTTTAGTAATTTACAATAGAGGTAAAATTAGAAAATTTTAATTAAGAACCTCTACGTGACTTATTATCAAGGACCAAGAAATTCTTCTAACTAAAATGTGACCGAGGAAGTAGAAGTTAGGAAGAATTTCATATTTACTTGAAACTCTTGTATACGTACTTCTCTAGCAATTGCGTCGCACTTGTACTTGGGCTTTTCCTCTAGAGCATTAACATTCTGCAATGAGGGGTTAAAAGTCTCACCTACAAGCATCCAAATCACTAATTCTCTCTCTCTCTTTCTATATATATATATATATATATATATATCTCTATCTATCACGAGCGGCTTTTTAGTATATTAATAAAGTTCAAATCTGTAATTATATTTAAGTTTGAAATTTCTAGAACAATTCACCTGATTGTCTTATATATTACAATTCCAGCATTGTGTTCCCTGAGAATATATATCTTGATGCCATGGTTATGATTAAAGTATTACGTGTCTTCTTAAAAAAAAAAACAGAAGGAACAACTAAAACACAAGTATAGAGAGAAAACACAGACAATATATAATTATTTAACTATCAAGAATATTTGAAGAAAAGATGAAGGAATTGATCTCTTTTTTTCCCCCCTTTTCTTTATGTATTATTCGCGATCTCGATGGAAGCCAGAAAAAGAACCACATTTTTCACAAAATTTCATTCTTGTAAACACACACACGCACGCAAATTAAGCATAATTAATTATATATAGAAATGTAAAGAGAAAAGAAAAAGTTGACATATATTAAAGAAAAAATATGTATGTTGGGGTGCCTTCCTTTAATCCTAATTAACGTTTGATTATGTGTCGTAGCTTTCCTTTATTATATTTATATATACCCAAAAAGCTACATCCGTACCTACGCTGAGAACTTCTTTGAGGTACAAAAGATCATATACATATACATGTAAAAGAATCAAAAGAAATTAAAGAAACCAAACACAAGCAAAGCAAAAGCTGCCACACAACAAACCCTTTTTATATATATTCTACAATAAAAATATATGGACGTGGGGTTTCGCATCGTGTTCTAACAGTGAAAACCATGCAAAATTATAAAAGCAAAAGCAATGCCAATTGTCGTCGTACTACAGCATCTCCTAATAATCATCTTAATCAGAAAATACATATGTAAACTCTAAAAGCTATGAGCACGTGAATCATATTATCATTATTCAAACCCAGTCTAATATATATATATATAAGTATAATTTGTACCTTGAAGAATTGCTCCATAGAGTAGTGGTAGTAGAGGAGTAATCCATATCTTGCTGAACTGACCGATCTGTTCTGCTTCCTCTTTGATCTGCAAATATGTCGTCTTCTCCAGACCCATCTGAATGGCCTGAATCAAATCCCAGAACTTCATTTCACACATATTTACATGTATGAAAATAACAATGCACTTTTAGATGCGATATATATGTCTGTATCTCTTAATGAATATATTAAGGTTTAATTTGGAGTTATTAATGTTGTTGTGAAATCAGAGGTAAAGGGTAAAGGGTCTGATGTGATGAGTTTGTAGTAGTGTAAAGGTATAGAAGAGAGACAAGAGAAAGAAAGGAATGGTGTGGTTACACGGTAAAATTGAGAGAATGAGAAAAAAGCGAAGGTTAAAAACAAATGGGTCTGAAAAGAACACTACACATGTGACCAGTGGATCATTTTGTTTCTTTATTTGTTTGATCAACATTCATATGACAACGTCCCTAAGGGAAAAGGAGGAAGAAGAAGAAGAAGATAAGGCTGCTAAATTCAAAATTTTGAAGAGAGTAAGGATTAAAGCAACACGAATTACCTGAAGAAGCTGCAGGCTTGTCAGTGGTCTTAACAGTTCGATACATCTGCACATTAGTTATAATCAATTAACCAGCCATTTTACTGTATAAGGATACAATAATTATTAAAAAAACCCAATCTATAAATAAACACTGAATTTTTTTAAGAGAAAAAAATACGGAATCCCATTTGTTAGAACTTAGATCCCTTCTGTATACTACTTACCATGTTGTGTTGAAATGAGTGGGTTTGGTCATTCATTAATCACGAGGTTGATATTTGATATAAAGTTGTAATTGAAGAATTGTATTATTGGGAAATGATGATTTTTGTCTCTCTCTCTCTCTCTCTCTCTCTCGTGTTTCTGTGTGGTCTTCTCAGACGCAGACCTTAAAGGCTCCTTCCTAACTCAGCTCACTTGCCATAGCGCCTTTAATTCATTCACTGGCTTTCTTTCTTCATCGGCGACTGTGCCGAAACGATAGACCGTAAGACCAACACAACATACAAACACATGACAGTAGAGAGAGAAACAGAGAGAGGGATTAAGAAAGAAAATGATGACGGTGCCGTTAACATTATTATCTCAATTTATATAAGTCAAATAAATTAAGTAAAATAGTATGCTTGCCTGAAAAATTATCGTTGGTTATTGACTGATTGTATTATATAGATCAACTTAATAACAGCTTCAACAATTAATTAATTAATTAATCTTATATTATATTTGACTCATTCAATTAAAAAGAGATAGAAAATAACTGACTATTATAAAGTTGTAGATTGATCCTCTGTCTATTGAGTTTACTTATGTGGTCCACATATCACAATCCATACAAAATTATAAAAGCCAATCTATTCTGGACTCAATATCTAAATAATACAAATTCATAATATATAAATATTTTATAAATATTCCAACAAGTGTTCTATATATGGGTGAAGAAATTGATTAATTCACTAAACTAGTATTATAATTCTTTGCGTGTACCTGTAAGTGGCTTTTCACATGAGCTAATGTAAGATCCTTCACATCCATGAGCTCAAGAACTGATTTCGGAGTCGCTCCTACAATAAAATTCACCTTCTGAATACCATTAACAAAGAAGAAGAAGAAGAAGAAACAGAATACAACAAGATATATAAAACAAAGATACAGAATATAAATAGTTGAAAGAAGAAGAAGAAGCTGAGCTAATTACTTTCATGACCGCCGAGGAGCTCGACGGCGTGAACGAAACGAGCATGGAGGGTAGTGGTCCACCGCATTCTGGGAGCTCTCATGCTGCGTTTTGTGGGAAGCTTAGGCAAGAATCTGGATCTCATGAGTCCACTGCTCGGAGACGCGTCATGTGAAGATGGCCCAACCATCCCATACTGGTGGTGGTGGTGGTGGTGGTGCAATTGATGATGATGAGATTTGAAAGCGTCTCCAGAAATCCCATTAAACCTGCCGGTGGCCCCCGCCCTATACGCCGCCGACACAGGATCCAACCCCCCGGCAGCCACCGCCAAGTACGGAGAAGCCGAAGGAGGAGGAGAAGAAGAAGGGAAAGAAGGATTATAGAAACACATCTTGGTTTGCTGCCGATGATGATCCTTGTGGTTGTGGTCCACCGGCAAGAAAGGGAAGGAACGGTTGTGATACACCGGAATCCCCTTGATGGGTCTCAAACCGTCGGAAGAAGGAGGATGAGACACATCAATCAATGAGACGCCATAGTTATTGACACTATTAGGATTCTGGTGGTGGTGGAGGAAATACTGGGGGGTCTGAAAATAAGGGTTATGATTATTATGATTACTATTGTTGCTGTTTCTGCTGTAGTGTTGTGCTGGTGCTGGTTCTTGTGTTGCAGAAGTGAAATTGGTTCCGAGCGACAGCTCAGTGTGGGCATGAGAGTGAGAGACAGAAAGTAAAGAAGAGAAATTAGAGGTTGAAGAAGAAGAATTAGCACTGTAGTGATGCCGATGTGGTTCATAGTTGATGTTGCTGCAAATCAAAGAAGAAGAGGTTGAAGAAGGAAGGCTGATGTGAAGAGAAAGATCAGGAGGATGATGATGAGTTGAGGTTGACGAAGAAGAAGAAGCAGGTGGCTCAATGAAAATCCCTGCTTCCATGGGCATCTTCTTTTTAAAGGGACTATTTTCTTGAAGGATGTGGTGGCTAGCGCTTTTGTTACAGAATGGATTAATATATCAGAAAGAGAGAGAGAGAGAGAGGATTGGCTTTTTATTCGTATGGAAAAGAATAAATCTGATATGAAACCGACAGAAAAGCAAAGTGCACTAGTAATTCACAAGCTACAGCCGACGACTGATGACAGCAATGATATCAATCCTTTTGTTGTTTGTTTGTGCGGACTCGCACTGGAGGGAAGATTGTTTGCTCTCGCTGCTTGCTGTTCCTTTTCTTCTGTGCTCATGGGAAAAAGAATCTGGCTTTCAAGACGGAGGAGAAGGGAAAGCAAAGGAATTAGCTTGACACAGTTCTGAATATGGGATGAAGCTAAGCTAGCAGAAGAAGAAGAAGAAGAAGAAGAGAGGCATAAGGTAGAGATAGAAACGAGGGATTAGAAGAGAAAATAAGAAGAGAGAAAGGATTGGAAAGTGAAAAACACAGAGGGAGAGACACAGATGGATTTGGGATAGTGTTCACCTCGAGAGTATATCTCGGAAAATGACACCACTAGAATAAGGAAGATGAAGGCAATGAAGAAAGAGGAACAACAAGGGATATAACATTCTCTCTCTCTCTCTCACTGTTCAAAAAAATTAATTAAGAAAGGAAAATGGAACCCAAAAAATAAGGTGGCTTTGGATTTCCCCTTCTCCGGAGACGACGGGATAAAAAAATTTACACCCTCATGTGTGATTCCTTTTCCCCCACACTCTCCGCTCTCTCTCTCTCTCTCTCTCTCACACATCTTTCAGTGTTCATGTGTGTGTGTGGGGGCAACTGGACACTTATTTCTTTGCTCAAATGGGAAGGCCAGGTCGTAGCATTGTTACTTTTCTGTCCCTACAAAAGTTTTGAATTCGCCCACATGTACTTTCAACGGCCTGGTTATATATATATATATATATATATATTACCTTGCTATTATTCCTGTTCAATTAAATTGTATCCATTGATTCTAGTAGTAGAAAAGAGCTGGTCGTTCGTAATACCACGAAACAAGATTTAAATTTTATTAAAAAAGTTGTTTTATTTAATATCTCAGTATACTTCGAATAATAAAATTACTTTTAATAAAAGAACACATGTATGCAATCAAAAAAAAATTTCCCTTATTCATTCAGTATATTATAAACTACTTTTAAAAATAAATGAGCAAAAATATTCATGAAGTCGTCATCCAAAAGTATTCAGTAGCTTAAAAAGAAAAAAAAAGATAAAAATATTCATAATTTTTTAATTAGTGCAAGAGTGACTAATCTATTAAATCCTCAAATATTAATTGTTTAGCTAACACCAAAGTAGATATTGACTATTTTTTTGTTAACATGAATTAAAAAGAAGATAAAAATACTCACAAAGTTATCAATTAAGGTCATTCAGTACCTTAAAATGAGAAAAAGGGCATGAATACCCATAATGTTACTTTAGTGGGTGCAAAGTGATTAATTCATTAAATTCTTTAAACGTTAATCATTTAGCTGATACGTAAGCAGAAGTTGATCATGTTTTTGCTGATATGAACTAAAAAATATTTTCAGGTGAAATTCTGCAAAGGCTGATTAATCATTATATGATGATAAGTTTCCACTTGAGGCTCTGGTTTTGATAACAGGAAAATGTCATTTTGACCAAACAAGTTAAGTTACTCACTTCTTTGAAATTCTTTGTACCATTGAAATTTTTTCTTGATGATCTGAATTGACAAAGGAGGTTGCATTCTTTTCACGTGATTCATTAAAAAATAATAATGCTATATTGTAATTAATAATATTACAGCTTATACCTAAAACAACGCTTATAACAAATAATTTTAATTATATTTGTTTACAAAATGATCAATGCTGTGAGATATGCAATGCTATTGCCGAAGACATTATCCATGTGCTACGGGATTGCTCGAACACTAGAGTTTTCTAGATGGAGTTCCTTGATCATGAACACATAACGACTTTCTTTAATACTGAAGTTCATGATTTGCTCACAAGGAACGAGTAGAGCCGGAGGAAGAAAAATGATGTTCCTTGGTGCTCTTATTTCTCGATTGCTTGATGACTCATTATTTGAAGAAGATGGAATGAGAAAATTTTTCAAGATAAATCCACTTCCAATTCAATAATTGATGCTAAGACCCCTGTTATTATTTATACGTTCTCTGATTATCCCAATAAACTGAAAGGAATAGCTTGGAAAAAGACATGGTCTTGATCTTAGTTGTACGTGGTGTCTGCTGAGTAGTGATTGGTTTGAATTTAATGTAGATGGGGCTTTTATTAGATTTGAATTTAGTGACTGTACTTAATACAGTATTGAATGTCTATGCCATCTGAACCATTAAAATCCAAATCAATGGTTATAAATTTTTACTTTACTTAAGAGTAATAAATGAGTGAATTTGTCTGAATCATTGATTTATATTTTAATGATTTAGATGATATTGATACTTAATACCTTTATTAAATATAGTCACTGAATTCAACTCCAACTTTTGTTGCAAATTAAAACTTTGTTGGTTGTGGTGGCTTAATTCATGACCATAATACTAATAGCCAGTTCAAAGCTGGTTTCATACACATGATATATGATGGAAATCCATTATATGTCGAGCTTGGGGCGTGTTTTTATGGGCTTTGGTCAATTTCTATTTAAATATTAATTAAACAGTTAATGTTCAAAGAATTTGATAGGTTGATCATTATTGCACATAATAAAGTAACGTTATGAGCATTTTTATTATTATTTTTTACTTTAGGCTACTAAATGCTTCTAGTTAGCTACTTTGTAGATATTTTTGTCTCTTTTAACTACATTAGAGAAAGAAATTGTCAACGTTTATTTAGATTCAGCCAAGCAGTCAACGTTTGAAAAATTTAATGAATTGATCACTCTTACACCAATTTAGATAACATTATGAGTATTTTTATCTTTTTTTCTCACTTTGGGATATTAGATGCTATTGGCCGATGACTTGATGAATATTTTTGCCCATTTTTCTAACTTTTAATTAATTTACATTATCTCGGTAAATTATTAGTGAATGACATTTAAAATTACATACTATTTTTATATTTATCTTTATTTAATATGTTATTTCAATTATAAAATTTAATTACACCTCTAATAAATGACTCCTTAATTGTTGTATTTCTTTCTCTTCAATAGGGGAAAAGAGTTAAAATACTCCTTCTGTTTTAAATTATAAGACACATTTTAGACAAAATTACATATACTAATAAAATTCATTAAATATACTTTACGAAATTATTTTTTAAAATAAAAATATAAACTTTTAAAAATATTCTTCAATACTTCATCAATGAAAGAATATTAAAGAGAGCATAGAGAATATAATAAGAAGGGTAATATTAGAAAAGTATTATTAAAAAATTTTATTTTTATCAAAATATTTTATATTTTGAGACGGAAAGAGTATTTTTAATTTAAAGACAAATTTAATGAATTCACTTCCCTTCCTTGATTTATGTGAAGCGGATGAAAATGACTTATAACATCAATTAGATCTATTTAGTATTATTAGATACTTTTAACTGAATTACACTTCCAATAAGTTAGTTAATTGACTTTAAAATTACATGTACTTTTTATATTTTTTTTATTTAATAGGGTGTCTCAATTAAAAAATCTTATCAATTACACTCCTTATAAAGGATATTTTTGAAGGAAAAAAAATCTTATTCATTACACCTTAAAGGGCTAAGGTGCAATATTGCCCCTAAATTATCCAATGTAGTAATGTAGCCTCTAAACTAATTAAAGTGAAACAATATTATCCTCACTGTTTAAAACCCAAACATTTGACCATTAAGTAAGAAGTTTGACTGAGGAAGGCCTCTTGCTTTAGATAACATATGTTTTTTATTTTAAATGGCAAGGGAAATATTACTCCAACTTAATTAGTTTAGGGATAACATTGCTCCTCCACAAATAGTTAAGCATCAGATCTATGACCAAGGTGACAATTGAACATAGAAGAGAAGAATAAGGAAAAAAGATTCTTGAGAAAAAGATGAAGGATGAATTATATTTGCAAAATGAGTAAATCGTCTATAACATGGATGAGCTTACCAAGGTCTATCTATTATCATTCATCCTCCTTCTTTCACTATTATAAAAATATCTTATGAGAGCACTTTTGAAATATTCCCGTATCTAGCACTCTTGTATATGAGAGCACTTTTAAAGCATTCCTATAGGCAACAAATATAGGAGCGCTTTTAATTAAAGCGCTCCTAGAAGTTTTTGCTTATAGGAGCGCTATCCATAAAAGCGCTCGCATAAGTTTCAAAAAATTTAAAAAGAAAACCCATACATATGGAAGCGCTTATATGAAAAGTGCTCCCATATGTTCCTGCAAGAGCACTCATTGTAAGAGCGTTCCTATAAGTTCACCTATAAGAGCGCTCTTCTACAGAGCACCTATGTATGTTAGGCTATAGGAGTGCTCTTGTAATTTCCAACCTACAAGAGCGCTTTCATATCTTATTTTTATTTTTATTTTAATTTTTTTATTATCCTTTCATATATCTTTTGCTGCTCATTACAAATAACAACTATTACATATCAATATGAAAAAAATAAAATAAATCCAGAGACAAAATAGTTAAACGTTAGAAGTTATATACAACTAAAGAATTTAAAATTAAAACAAACTTTAGATCAAATTTTTATCTTGTCTAATCTCTAGTTAGTCTATCTTACAAACAAAACTTTTTGATATTTTTCTAAAATTAGATGTTACTAATCACAGACATCCAATTATATATTCTGATCACTTATCAATTATATATTCTTTACAAGAATGCTCCGGAAGAGTTACGCATTCCGGAGTGCTCAAGTAAAGAGTGCTCTTAAAATCTTTTAAATTTTTTTAATAACACTGATTAGGAGTGCTTTCTTATTGAACGCTCTTGAAGGTCTGATATACAAGAAAATTAGAAGCACTTTCTTATTGAGCACTCTTGAAGGTCTAATATATATGAGCGCTTATTTAAAAAAAGTGCTCAGGTAAATTCGAATTTCACAATTAAGAGTGCTTTTTAATGAAGCACTCCTAAGATGTATTTTGTAGTGGTGTTTTGTTATGAGATGAATCCTTCTTTTTGGGTTTTTTCTCCTTATACATCATTTTAGGCTGTAAATGTGCGAATTGTGTAATGAATTTGTTGGAGTTGATTGTTTTTGTGCGAATTCATTGAATTTGATTGTTTGATGTGGTTTTTGCTTGATGTTTACGCTCCTTGTATTTGAGTGCTATCAAACTAAGTGTGGTTACTGAAACAATTCATCCCTGTGGTAATAGACCCTTCCCGAATGGACCCTCTTCTAATTCTTCAGAAAAGCATCGTCGACGGTGGGAGAAGGTGCTCGCCAAGGGAGAATCAATGAATGTATAGGGACTAATTTAGTTAGACCTGAGTCCACATGGCAGTCTACTAATCACCAAAAAAAAATGCCACATGGACATTTCAATGGTTAAATTTTTATATTAACGGTTAATGTTTCCCAAATTTAAGAGTAGGGTGAAATTGCTTCATTTTTAACACTTTCAAAACAACGTTACTCCTTTTAAAAAATAAATGTGTTGAGTGTTCCTTTGAAAAAAAAATTAGAACATTTTTGCTCCTTAACCCTATATTTATAAGTTATTTGAGACCTTTTTTG